ACATTATCTGCAATTACAGCAGCGGTCATGGAAATTCTATAAAACTGTGTATTTTTTAATTAAAATATGTAGAGTGCAATAAACCTTGCGGATTGAAATATGTCTGACATCATAAACACAAAAACGCTTTACATTGGCTGACAAAGTCTACTACAGCAATGTTTTGATGATTGGATCTTCCATTGGTACAAAAAACCGCTACGTAGATGGTGCGATTTTTATAATCAAAATGGAAAGTTTTCGATAGATAACATCGCATAAAACGTTTGTAATTGTTGCTTTATAGGATTGTAGAATTAATGGGATAAAGTAAAACAACACACGGGCTATCTATCGAGGAAGTGCCTTCCAGGTATATCCGTGAAGAATCCGGGACACTCCTTATGTGTCACGTATGGATTGTCCGTGTCTGGTATCCGTTAGACACATGAAGGAACCCCGAAAAACTTTACGCAGCCAACTAGCACGCTGCCAACTAGCAACCAGTGGCTGAATGGATAAAGCCACTAAACATTGGTAGGTATACCAGTGTTTAGTGGCTTTATCCATTCAGCCACTGGTGAGCTATTTGTTGCATTGATTACTAAAGGGTTCTTTTCTAAAATAGCGTAGAGAGTGTATTGTCATCAATCAACAACTGTGAGTTTCTTATAAAGGAGACTTGAACATGGCAATATTAAAAGCCTGCTAGTTTTTCCGAACTGAAAGTAGAGTGTGAAGAGCAGTATGTGTGAAGTAGAGTGTGAAGAGTGTAGAAGAAAGTAGAGTGTGAAGAGCAGTGTGAAGAAACGTAAACGCGAGTGCACGAACTATTCGACGTCTCTTTGTAACATTGTGTTAAAAGTCTATTGTCCACGCAAGAAGCCATTNTATCCACAGACCCTAAAAATACTAGCCAGTCTGTGAATGTGACAATTCCTAGAAAATAATGGTATTTGAACCGGTTATATATTGAAAACCATTTTATATTGTTTCTTATGGGGAAAATTTGTTTCGGTTCTCGATCAACTTTTAGGAACGAATTAAGTTCGAAAGTCGAGGTTTGAATGTAATTATAATATACTTTTTGCAGTAAGTGTGATTTCATATCGGATCTATTGATAGTGATATGGTTATAAGATAAGACATTATCTGCAATTACAGCAGCGGTCATGGAAATTCTATAAAACTGTGTATTTTTTAATTAAAATATGTAGAGTGCAATAAACCTTGCGGATTGAAATATGTCTGACATCATAAACACAAAAACGCTTTACATTGGCTGACAAAGTCTACTACAGCAATGTTTTGATGATTGGATCTTCCATTGGTACAAAAAACCGCTACGTAGATGGTGCGATTTTTATAATCAAAATGGAAAGTTTTCGATAGATAACATCGCATAAAACGTTTGTAATTGTTGCTTTATAGGATTGTAGAATTAATGGGATAAAGTAAAACAACACACGGGCTATCTATCGAGGAAGTGCCTTCCAGGTATATCCGTGAAGAATCCGGGACACTCCTTATGTGTCACGTATGGATTGTCCGTGTCTGGTATCCGTTAGACACATGAAGGAACCCCGAAAAACTTTACGCAGCCAACTAGCACGCTGCCAACTAGCAACCAGTGGCTGAATGGATAAAGCCACTAAACATTGGTAGGTATACCAGTGTTTAGTGGCTTTATCCATTCAGCCACTGGTGAGCTATTTGTTGCATTGATTACTAAAGGGTTCTTTTCTAAAATAGCGTAGAGAGTGTATTGTCATCAATCAACAACTGTGAGTTTCTTATAAAGGAGACTTGAACATGGCAATATTAAAAGCCTGCTAGTTTTTCCGAACTGAAAGTAGAGTGTGAAGAGCAGTATGTGTGAAGTAGAGTGTGAAGAGTGTAGAAGAAAGTAGAGTGTGAAGAGCAGTGTGAAGAAACGTAAACGCGAGTGCACGAACTATTCGACGTCTCTTTGTAACATTGTGTTAAAAGTCTATTGTCCACGCAAGAAGCCATTACTTACAACAAAAGTGCACAGACAGTAGCTTATCTAGACTAAACAGCATGCAAGCTGGAGCTTCTGAATGTCAGATTTAGTTATTGTTTCGAATGAATCCAAATTTAATGAGTATGGATCTGACGTTAAACCCATACTAAGCGATTGCGTAATGCAGATAGTAAAGTTTCTAATGTAAGCCAACTGATGTGAGTATATATATATCCAGTAAAGATGTCGGCAGACTATACTTTATAAATGGATTTGTGTATGCAGAGTGCTTTTGTAGCATTCTGCATAAACATGCAGAGTACTACATGTGTATGCAGATGTGTAAGTCATCTTATCTACCAAGTTGATTACAGCAATCAAGGAACAATTTCGTAACACGAAATACTGCATTTTCCAGGACGACTAAGCATCATGTAATTGCGCCATGGTGAATAAATAATGTGTCCTTTCTCTACAGTATGTTAGCATTAACTTAAACTGATACACAAACTGTACATTAGATTAAAAAATTCCAACAAGAAGCTCAGTCCTTATGTCAAAGCTGGCCAGTTAACAGTCCTGATCTCAACTTTAAAGAGAACTGATGGCTTATTACGGGCACAAAAATTGCAAAATAGAAGGCGAAATAAATAGCTACAGGAGAGAATTAGAAGAGCTTAATATCACGAATATTGACTCATTCATTGTATGCTGGAGTATGTTAAAGCTGTTATTAAGGCTCGAGGTGTCCTACGAAGTATTTGGATCCCATTCAAAAAGAAATAACGCAGTGAACTCTTCTTTTTTCCTTCCTTAATTAACTGTGAACGACAAGTTCTTGCGACATCGGTCATTAATAGTAATGTTGAGGCTATGGTGTAAGAGTTTAAATTATGTTTATTTATAACAAATCAAAATGATATAAAATTTTACATAATTAAATTAAATAAAGCAAAATTGTTTTGATGCTAAGTTTAATTTTTTTTAAAGTAAAATATCCAAAAAATAATAATAATAATAAGTAAATAAATATTTTGATCCAACAATAAAATTCATTTGTTTGAATTCTTAATTAACTTAATAGATTTTTGTAAATAATTTTTAAAACATTACTACTACTTCATATCAATACTTAAGGTATAAAAATACCGTTTTAGTGTAGATTTTTATGCATTTTTTATAACAATTTATGATAATACGATAATTTTATAGTTCGAATTCTTTATTCTGATGATGTTTAAAATTATTAAAAGAAAAAAAAAGAGATATTTTGTGTTATTTCACTTTTTATCGCTGAACTGTGTACTGCCGACAATCATAGCAAGTGTACTGTACATTTGTTTTATTTATGCATTTATTAGTGATTAGAAGAAGACAAAAACGAACAAATTTTCAAATAAAGTCTTAGTCTTTAATTAAAAAAGTTAATAACGTTAAAATCGTCGATTTGTATTAAGAGTAGAAGGTAAATATAATGAAAGTGTTTGTTTAACGAAATAGAATTGTCTTCAAAATAAGGATTTTTTTATGATAATGGCGATAATCTGTAATCGATTTGCTTAGAAAAAAAAACGATTAACATGTAAAAATAATGGAAAGTCTCTTATTTAATCAATGGCATAATAATTTTTGAACAAATTACAAATTTATGTATAAAAATTAGCTGTTCGTTCATAACTAGTTGGTTGGTTTGATAAGATTCGACAATGCAACACATAGGCGATGTTCCAGGGAGGAATACCTCCCTGGAGGATTATCTATGGGAAATCTGCCCGTTTGTATGTTGGACACGCGAAGAATATCAGTGGCTGTCTGTTGGTCAGGCGCAAAGTCGCGATCCCATTACTAGTGTATTATCCACTTGGCCACTGTCGGGCTGGCCAGAATTAATCTAACTTATTTAATGCATTTGACATTTACAGCAATTGATTACATACTAAAAATGTTATATCAAGGGTAAAAATAAGGTAATAACTAACAAAAATTTAAAGACGTGTAGTACAGTAAGGTTATTAGACTGTATTATCACACAATACATACTTCATTGAACTTAAAACTGTTTCTGCGAAGGCCAACTAGTACGTGATCATAACCTATATTAAGTTTACTCAAGGGCTAAATTGTAGAGAAAAATAAGTAATAGAAATAATAATTATAATTTACATAAATCCAAGGATTCGAAATTTTGTGTAAGGTTGATTTTAGTGAAGGTTATAAATTTGATCTTAACACAGCTATAAAAAAGAAATAGTAAAAAACTAATATTATATCATTATTAAAATATACAAAAAGCTTGACTAATTTAACCGGTTAATTTAATAATTACTATTTCCTCTAAAACATTTACTTATCAAAGGTTTTTGATCCAAGGTCGAAGAACAACACAACACGCTGAACTGAATATATTTGCAATATATTTGATCGAACCAGTTTTAGTACAATTTAATTATCATTTATTAATATTAATTCGAATTTTCCTTTATTTTCACATAATGTTTCATCGTGTGAATTTCTGTCTTTTATATAATTCTTGTTGATTATAAATTGGGGCGATCCTGGATTTATTTTTATATATTCTATAAATTCACAGGATTGAGTTTATAAATGAAATCTAATCCAACTACAATGTAAAATATAGAACCTTATGTAATCGGAAGCACACAGAGATTTATTTAATTTCAAAGAAATCTTATAAGTCTTCGTGTTGTGTAGTAGGTTGCGTAAGTATACACACTCAACATATATGCACTATAAATATACATAAATTGTATTTATGTATATTTTGTTCTTTTGTAAAAAGAACAAAAAACATCGTTTCAAAACTCAACAAATTCAAAACAGCAAAATTAAAATTGTACAATTTTATATTGTCATCAGGTCTTAATGGACACCACAGAAGATCACAAGTTCCTCAACAATTACTTGTATCATCCTCTGTGCTAGCTAATCCTCACGTTTAAGCCATAGAATTTGATATAAGACTACCTCTACAATAGTACAGATCACAGTTATAGATGACCATGCCAAAAATTTTCACTTATACTAAGCTGTAATTTAGAGAGATAGGAGCAATTGACTTAACTCTAATCTTTGTTTTTGTACTCGTTCCACCATTATCATCTCTACATGTATGTGGCCTTAAACTATTCAGATCATATTTACTTATCTAGAATATATAAAATCAAGTTTTATAAATTCTAATGTAACTTTTGCTGAATTACAAATTGTAGGTTAATGGTAGAACCTACAACTAAATTGATACTAGATCAACTATTGTGGCTGCGAGTATGCATTTTAAATCATCATTTGCAAGCAAATTTCTGTTTAATTCTTAAATTCTATTCATGTTTGCATGCAATAACAATCGTGATCGTTGTTAATAAGTAAGATGACGGCCTTGATCGCTCCTTCGAACCATCATTTATTTTAAATTAAATGATTTTATAATATTCAAATGATATTCTACATTTATAATCGACGACAAACTTTGACGTCAATCTATCATTTTAAATAATGAAATATTCTTACAGGTTTGAGGTCCCTATGAGCATAACCTTCATTATGAATATAAGCAATGGCAGAAACAATTTGGCGAAAGAAATGCCTTGCTTCTTTTTCTCCTAACTTATCTTTTACTACTATATAATCAAACAACTCTCCACCTGGACAATACTGAAAGTTTTTAAAAAATATATTTAGAATTCACAATTTTTTGACAAAATGATTTATTTCAAAAAAAAAAAAAATCACTTTATTCAATTCAGCATACATAAGTACAGTATATTCAAACAACTTACCTCTAGAATAAGAAATATTTCATTTTGTGTTTCTATTACTTCATACAATCTGCAAATATGTTGATGACTGAGATCTTTCAGTGCTTTGATTTCTAATTTCACACGAGGCAGATCCTCCTTTTATAAAATTTTATTATTTATTTCTTAAAATGTTTTGAATATAATTAAGTACAAAATATTAAATTTACCCCAAGAGACTTTTTGTTCATAATTTTAATAGCAACTTTCTCTCCCGTTAACACATGTATTGCTAATTTAACTTTAGCAAAGCCTCCTATAAAAACAAAATATAATAATAAAATTGCAATAATTAAAAAGTGTACTTCTTTTACAATAAGAATAAGTTTGAATCTAATTACATAAATAGAAACAAATTTTTTATTGTCACTTTGTAAGTAATTATGTAATACTGATATTTTATATGTGACAACCTTAATCTAGGCTATTTGTTAAGAAATATCTATTTAGAAATAAAAAGAAATGCTATATTTCAGAATTAAATTTTGTTAAATTATTTTTATTTAAGTTTAAATTAAATCTGAAGATCAAAAATGTTCATTTTAGGGATAATATTTACATAATTAAATTTTATTTATTCTGTCACTTATGTCACATCCCACAGGGAGAAAGGTAGTTCAGAATGTTACAACAGTATAACAAGGGGAGAGAAGAGGAATTGTCCTTGTAATGTCATGCTTTACATTTAGTATTAATCAGTAGCATACAAACATTTTTAACACAATATGTCACATTCTAAACATATTCTTTAAAATTTTAGTTTTTATATAAAAACATTAAAAGATAGGAAAAATTAAATGTATATTATACAGTTACTTTATTATGTCTGGTAATAAAATCTGTTATGGCCACAACAAAGTTATTGGTGCTATTTCTGTGACTACAATAGTTCGGAATTTATTTTATCACTATTTAAATATGTAAATAGTAAAAATTTATATTCTCACTATTTGTATGTTACAAATAACTCATCAGTCATTTTTTTTACGAGTCTGAAAGTCAAATGAATTTTAAGATAAGTAATGTTATGAAATTGTTGTGCTGTGCTATGAAGTCACAGGTTGTCTTTGTTTCAAAGTTCTGTTAAGTTAAACAAGGTAATTTTATATATACATGACACTTCAATATTGATTAGGGCACAGAACTCAGATCAAGCCCACTAGTATATTTACAAGTTAAGGAATTATTTACCATGTTAGACTTGTTACAAATGTTTGAATTTTTAAAAATTCAAAGTTCTTTTATTTTCAGATTGTCATCAAAGAAAAAGGAAATGTTGAGAAGCTATAANTGCCTTAAATTCTTTATATAATTTAAAAAAGGCATAATATTTCGATTAAATTTTTGTTCCTTTTTTGCTATTTTTTAATTAAAAAAAACATGCTTAAGTGAAGTTTAATAAATAAGATAATGTATATTAATTATAAAGAAAAATACAACAAATCTCTTATTTCAAATAAACAAGTCAATTAAATTTCTTTATTAAGTAGATTAATTATGCATTTTAATTACGAAATAACCTATTAATTGATTTACAATTGGAATATTTTTTAGGTATAACAAGTGTGGGAGAGATGTCTCGTGTGGGTAATACGGCCAAAGGTAAGATAATTTTTCTGTAAATATACTTAAGGAGCCCATCAGTGGCCGAATCGCGGGTTCGCACCACGCGGTTTTACTTTAGTAATACCTAAATAGGGGTCAATTTTTACAAAGAGGAGGACTTTCTTTGTGAAAATGACTCCTATAAATGTGCAATAAATTAAAAGGGCCATCCTATAAGTTATTTTTCTTTATTATATGTAAATTAAAGTAAATTATATGTAAATTTTGGAGAGATGCCAGTCAGGGGTGAGATGCCTCTTTTATTTATAACACAGTAAATGTAGAAAACGGATTTTTTTTAAACGAATTTAATTGACGATGATGATGTAAATGAGGATGATATAAGAGATGTAAATTAGTATAATCACGCTAAAAAAATAGGAAATAAATCTATCATAAAAAAAAAAAAATTAGAAGTAAATCGTTGATGGTGATGATCTGCATTATCATTGTTAACGATGTATCATCCTTGTTACATCATAAGATCTTCATTAGATTTAATTCTATAGATGAAAAATCAGTTCTTTATTATAGGAAAATAGTCGATGATGATGATGATGATGATGGTGACAATGATGTGGATCACTAACAACTATTTTCCTATTTAAAAAATGATAAATACAATCTAAAAAATAAATAAATAAACTTAATTAATTTGTCTGCTCCTAAACATGTCAGAAATTTACGAATTTCTGACAGATTTGTTTTTTTTTTTTTTTTAAATAATTTAAAAATATAAATATTAAAAATGTTTTTTTTTTTTAGAAATCAAACAACTGACGACGTAATAGACAATACTAGCAACATGATGTAAGTCTATTCCAAGGCTTTTTAATAGTAGTTTACCTTGATTTAAAGTAAATGTAGTGATCGTTTGAAATTCTTTACCCGTTGATTTTTCCTATAAAACAAAAATTCGAATCGACTTCTTTTACATTTTTTTCCCCTCTTAAAAAAACTTTTAATAATTTTTAATATTTATCATCAATTTTCTGCATTTTATATGCCTTTTAATTGCTTTTATAACGAATCAGCTTATTACAATTAAGATAATATTCTTTTTTTATTTGTAAATTTGATATCCTTCACAATATATACATAGTCTAGGTATATATATATATATATATATATATATATAGACTATATAGCAATTTGTTTCGTATAAGTAAGGCATTTATTAAATTTATAAATGTTCTATTATTTTAATTAACAATATTTTGTAGTTTTTTAAATCGTTTTTGTAACTGAGATGCTACTTTTTTGATGTTTTTCTAATTAAGATGTTCCTGTTTTTTATTTTTTTTTTGTACTTAAGATGCTCCTTTTTGGCTTTTTATCTAAAAAAAAGACTCCTTTTCTTGTTATTTTTAAAAAAAGCAGTGGTTCTAATTTGCATTCTTTGAAGGTAGATTTTTTTTTCAATTTAAAAAATAAGATGTTCCTATTTGTTTTTTGTGGATAGAAGGTCTTTTTTTTGTAATTTTGGTGAAAATTTTGAAAAAATAATTTTAGACCTATAAATTCTTATTGTCATCCGTCCGTCTGTCTTTCCTTAATATCGAAAATAGATTTAGATGAAAGCCAAGACCAGATGTGGAAAACTTAGGGGCAGGAAGAATCAACTATATACGAATTTCCGGTACAAACTGGAAGTCACATTATTTCAATTCAAATATTTTCTTATAAAAAGTGTTAGATGAATGACTGACACGACTCTATTATTAAAGGAAAATCTATGATGTACAGGGGCAAGACACTACTAATTTGATGGGGAGAGTATATATTTTAAATTAAATAAATTAAAAATATGATTAAAAATTGCAGCCCGGCATTGTGATAATGTCACAATAAATAATTGCTGGTATTTTTCTTACATTTCATAGAGAAAAAAATAATCCTTTCTTCTTTATTGCTTTAGAAAATTCAATATTCTTGCTTTTTTTTTGGAAATGATAATTTTTCCTTAATTTAAAAATAAGATTCATTTGCATTTTTATAAAATAAAAAAATACATAAATTGAGTATTTTTTCACATTTTTGCACTTTTTAAAATACAAATTGCGCTTTCTTTCTGTCTTTTTCTGTAAGTGAAGATGCTCTTTCTAATCTTTCTTCAACTATATACAACTGTTTTTTTCTTAAGTACTACACTGTACTCAATTATACTTCATTATTTTTATGTAAATTTAATGCTGTACTGTACCTTAAATTTATTGTACTGTATTTAATTTAATATTCTTGTAAATGTTCTGGTTGAATTATAAGTATTAACTAATAGCTCTGTATTCACTTTTATAGTTATTCCTTGCTATATGTAGATATATATATATCTACATATAGCAAGGATTAACTATAAAAAATTAGAGCTGCAGTTACATCCCTACATCTACAAGTAACAGATCTATTGCAGTAAGTAGTATGCAGATCTATAAGTAGATACACCACCACATCTATAAATGTATAGGGATTTTACACAAGGATTTTAGTTAATTTCCCTATAATTTAACCAATTTAAAGTGTGTTTTAGTATTATTTATTTAACATGAATGGAATTAAACAGTATAATTGTACAGTAAATTTAACTGGAAGGACAAAATAATTTAGTTAATACTTAAACATTCACTTTTTACTTACCCCTCTTTACAGATTCGCCATTTATACTAGATGAAGGACACAAAAACATATTTTAATGTTTATTATTAATCTAAAAACTGCTAAAATTTAAGCCCATTTTAACATGTATGCATATTATAATTCATTTAATTCACACACACTTCTGTAGAAATATATTACAGAGGCTTATATATAACTGCAAGTTACAAGTTAATTAAAGGGTTGTTTATTAAGTTATACGTGAATTTATCACTTTAAAATATGCTTTATATGGTTTAATGAAAATTAAAGGGTATAATTGCGTACGAGATGTAACTTGCAGCATAGTAAATGAGTAAATTAAGTAATAGTCTGTCATTCATTCCTTAGTTATACTTTCCTTACTTATACTACACATTAAAACATACTTTTAATGCAGATTACTAATCTAAATTACTAGAATTTAACTGCATGTTGCATACCTTACTCTCTATACATCTGTACACATAATAACAAGACTCGTCTAACAGCTGTTTGTGTTAATTGTTGGCTTGTTACTGTCTGTACAGGCTAGACGTAAATAATTAACAAAATCGAACAGAAAATAACGAAAATTTTAAATATTTTAAAATAACAATTTAAAGTTAGATAATTAACAGCACCGAATATACCATTAAAAGTAAAGAATTAAGAAGCAATGCAGTTTAAAGTATGAGTAATGTATAAATTTATAACCTATAAAATATTAACTTTATACATTTTTATTCATTTTATTTAACGCTTAATATTTTAAAAATATATAAGAGCATAAAATAAACTTAATTATTATTAAAATTTATTTATTAAAAATATTTTCTGAAGTTTAATAATAATACAATTTTAAATATTTTTTTTACTAATTTAAAAATACATAAATTGGCAGAATATACACCAAAGCCATTTAATTTTACTAAAATTTGTACTTCAGTACTTTAAATAAATATTTTTAAATTACCCAATTGTAGATCTATAAATTCTCATTGTCTGTCTGTTTGTCTGTCTTCTCTTAATCTCGAGAACGACGTTAGATAGATGAAAGATGAAAGTAGATATGAAGACAATAGGGAAGAATTCCCCGATTAACCATATACGTACTTCCGATACAAACCGGAAGTCACGTGATTTCAATTCAAAAATTTCTGCTATAATGTGTTAGATAGATGACCGATGATTTATATAATTAATTATTTTAAAATGGCAAAAAGCTTAATTTCGAGGGTAGAAATGAGTTTTATATATAAGAAACAAAATTGTAAATGCTAATAACAAGTAAAAACTTCATTTAAATCCGATCCTACTCGAGATACGACACACGACCCCTTTTATCTCCCTATCCACTTGACCTTTAACCACTAAAATTTAACTGCATCAATCGCCATAAAATTTAAACCTCCATGCAAAATTTTAGAAATTTTCGACAAAATGCACAGGAGTTATTAAGCTTCAAAGTGGGTGAGCAAAATCATGAACACACACGTGTTCATGATTTTACACAGAAAGTATATAAATTATATCATAATTCAACGAAAATGAATAAAAATGTTATCATTACTCTTATAATTTGTATAATTTAAAACATTTTTGAACATAATTTTAACATAATTTATCCAATATTCTTACGTAATTTGCTTAAGTAAACACGTTAATGTTCAAGATTCTTAACATCCTTCAACAGGTTTTAGTATAACAAAATTATGATGGAATATTTTACAATTTAGAAATAAAATCACATTATTTTTTAAAATATTTTAATTAATTAATTAATTAATTAATTTAAAATATTTCTTAAAAATATAATAGTTGTTAAGAAAATCAATAATCTCTGAACTATGATACCAACGAATCAATAATGTTTACATAAAAGTTTCCTCGTGTCGATAATTAAATTACTTAATATTTACTAATACTTCCCACTTATTTTCATTATAAATCCTTTAGAAATTATTTTATACACGCATAAATTATATATTTTATTTCCTGTAATCCTACCATTAACTTGTTATCCTTGTTTTAATTTTCGTATTGTTTTCTATTCCACGCTGTTTTTTTTTTTTTTTGGTTAAAATAATCATTAAACTCGACGTTTTTTATGACAAAATAATTGAAATTTTTACAATAATAATTCTTTATATATTTCTATTCTTGTAGAAAATCTGAATTTTTTGATTTCGTAACATTTATTTTTCCAAATAACCTGTTGAACTTCGATAACAACTTCATCTCTCGTAATCATCATTTGATATAAACCAAAATTATACTTCATTATTTTTATGTAAATTTAATGCTGTACTGTACCTTAAATTTATTGTACTGTATTTAATTTAATATTCTTGTAAATGTTCTGGTTGAATTATAAGTATTAACTAATAGCTCTGTATTCACTTTTATAGTTATTCCTTGCTATATGTAGATATATATATATCTACATATAGCAAGGATTAACTATAAAAAATTAGAGCTGCAGTTACATCCCTACATCTACAAGTAACAGATCTATTGCAGTAAGTAGTATGCAGATCTATAAGTAGATACACCACCACATCTATAAATGTATAGGGATTTTACACAAGGATTTTAGTTAATTTCCCTATAATTTAACCAATTTAAAGTGTGTTTTAGTATTATTTATTTAACATGAATGGAATTAAACAGTATAATTGTACAGTAAATTTAACTGGAAGGACAAAATAATTTAGTTAATACTTAAACATTCACTTTTTACTTACCCCTCTTTACAGATTCGCCATTTATACTAGATGAAGGACACAAAAACATATTTTAATGTTTATTATTAATCTAAAAACTGCTAAAATTTAAGCCCATTTTAACATGTATGCATATTATAATTCATTTAATTCACACACACTTCTGTAGAAATATATTACAGAGGCTTATATATAACTGCAAGTTACAAGTTAATTAAAGGGTTGTTTATTAAGTTATACGTGAATTTATCACTTTAAAATATGCTTTATATGGTTTAATGAAAATTAAAGGGTATAATTGCGTACGAGATGTAACTTGCAGCATAGTAAATGAGTAAATTAAGTAATAGTCTGTCATTCATTCCTTAGTTATACTTTCCTTACTTATACTACACATTAAAACATACTTTTAATGCAGATTACTAATCTAAATTACTAGAATTTAACTGCATGTTGCATACCTTACTCTCTATACATCTGTACACATAATAACAAGACTCGTCTAACAGCTGTTTGTGTTAATTGTTGGCTTGTTACTGTCTGTACAGGCTAGACGTAAATAATTAACAAAATCGAACAGAAAATAACGAAAATTTTAAATATTTTAAAATAACAATTTAAAGTTAGATAATTAACAGCACCGAATATACCATTAAAAGTAAAGAATTAAGAAGCAATGCAGTTTAAAGTATGAGTAATGNTAACTTTATTTATAATTTAGAAAAGGTTTTAATGGATTATATAATAAGTTATTCGTTATATTTTGTAGCATTTTTAAAACACAATATGCTTTACTAGATTTTCCTCATGTTAACACAGTTTCCTGTAAAATTTTGTTTACAATTTCTTAAAAATATTTATCAAAAATAATAGTATTTGTGATGAAATCATTTCTAATAATCACAAAAGTCACTTTATACTTGCCAAATTTGTTAAAATAAATAAATTTTGAACTTTTGCAATGCAGAGGAACTTCAGATCAATCTGAAGTTCCTCTGCATTGCAGAAACCCGAAATTTATTTAAGTTAAATAATCAATTTATATCAATGCATTAATAGTCATTTAGTTAATATATTCATTATTCAACGTACTTTTCCTTATTCTTAACAATCTAATAAGTATGCCATTCATTCCAATTGTGCAAGACAATTCCATCTTAAAACTAGTACGTGTCAACTTAATAAATAATTAATTAATAAAACTAGATCATTATCAACTTTACTAACTGAAAGTATCAAGGTCATGATTTTTTACATGAATTTATCATTTCGGTATTAAATTTAATGAATTTTCCTTAATTTTATTTATAAACTTTTCGAAGATCTCCTTTTTTTTTATAAATCCTTATTGTGGAATTTCTTATTGTGGATTCTTAATTTAAATAATAGCAATTTCGTGAAATTTTAGGAATACGATAAAAAATTGTTTTGAAATTTCTTATTCGTTACAGACTCTTGCGTGCTTAAAACAATTCAGATTTGAAAATGACAATTTTTTGGCTTGTGAAGTTGTTTCTTTCCTAAACATTCTGCTGTTATTTAAGAATTCTCTAGAATTAATCTTATAATTGATTTGTTGTAGAATTTTTCAATGTTATTGAAGGTTATATTTGAAAATACTGATTTCTAAGCACCGTAAACAATTTATATTTTAAGAATAATCAGCTTACATTAGCATAGGATCAAAGGACTAATAAATTCTTTTTAACTCAACCATTCTAGTAACTATGATATGATTAACCTCTTTAGATCCAAATTTCGATGTGCAACAGTAACACTCTTCTTAAATTCAAGGGTCGTTCATACAGTAATGCTCCATAATTTATATCTGGGAAATACATTTTATAGATTTTCCTCGTGATAACATTTTCTTGTAATTTTTTTTCAAATTTAGAAAAAAAACGTTAAAGATAACGACAATATTTATGATAAAATTTATTTCAGTCTTATCAAATTTGTTAAAACGAATACATTTTACCTTTTTGCAATGCAGGGGTCTTCAGGAAAACTTCTTGTTAATAAGTATAAAGTCCGGATCTGGGTGCCACGCTGATTAGCATATGGTTCCCGATCCCATTTATTCATCATTCTTCCTTCTTCACCCAACATAAAGTTAAATCTCTTTAATCCTAAATACCATTAGCTAAGTACATTTAGAAAACTTGATATTTAAATACCACACGCGCCATTAATTTTTAAAACACGTGACGTCTAAATGCCAAAGTACCATTAGCTTTAGAAATGATCTTCTAAATAATACAAAAACACTATTACTTTTAGAAATTTGTATCTTTACAAGTTTTCTGAAGGTATTATCATGAAACTCATCATATCCTCCTTCTTATGATAAGAGTTTTGATAATATATTGAATATCTTTTACGGAAACACTCATGATAATGATTATTATACTGATTACTATGTACTCAGAATTTAAAATTATTGGGCATTTATTTATTTTTTCTGGCATCTTTCATAATATATTCGTAAACAAACACATCAATTTATCTATCTAATATAATATTCTTATATATGATGAACTGGTTTATAGTTTAAATGAATGTCGTGAGATTTAATGATATTTGAGTGATTTATATTTATTTTAATGACATTTTGGCATGATTCTCGTAACAATACGTCATCAGATTTGCCAGTTTTATGTTACTATCGTCTTTCACAATCGTTTGACCTTCAACAACTTTGCTGAATTAGACTATCGCTCTGCAATATAACCCATAAATGTAATTACAAAATAAAATATTAATGTAGTTAAGTTATGAAATACTGTCTGGATATTGTATACTAAACAGTAGACACTACACAACATCGTTTAGTATAATTTAACTTATATAATCCCTAAATGAATGCAAAAACACGAAAAATAACTATGATTTTTAAAGAAATTGAAGGCTAAATTTCCAATAAAACTTTTAAAATTTGTAATTAAGAATAATACAAAAAAAAAATTGTTTAAAAATTCAAAAAAAAATTCTCAATTGCTAAACATCACGAACATCATCCTTCAATGATTAAAGCCGTATCTATCACATTAGATATATAGCAGCAGCAGCAGCAATGTACGACGGGAAAATACACGTACTCGATGGAGATTGGTAGAAACAGTTGTTACGTCATACAATATATACAGTATGTAACGCTTTACACGAATCAGTCGATGAGTGAACTTCGTGCAGGACGTATTGATTTAACGTTGTGTGTGTGTATCTGAAGGCAATGTGTTTGTGGACTCGTTTCTACAAAATAAATAAACAAAAATAAGCCAAAAAAACAGGGAAACAAATAAATTATTGGATTAAAAAAAATCATATTTTAAATATGCTATTTTTAACATAAACAAGGATGCAATTTTATGGATAACAATTCACTATTTAACTATGGAAAAAAATCAATAACTTATCACCCTATGTAGATAAAGTATTATCAGTTATTCAGGTTTGTACTTTTAAAATTTATATATATATATATAATCTTATATATTTTACGATTTAAATAAATATATATATANGACCATCAAACTTCATTATCTTAACGAAATAAGATGACCAAAATATCATTTGAACTGTAGTGATAAAGTAAGGGTAGAATACAAAGAACATTACATTCGTTAGTAGAAACGATACTACAGGATTTAATTGTTCTTCATCTTATTACTTATATAATTCAAACTAAAAGGAAAAAATAAGTTTCAAACTAGATTTTCTCCATCTTTAACTTCCCGTTTAATATACTTTTCTTAATCATTATTCTATCATAAAAAGAGGGAAAATAGCGATGTGTTTTTTTAATTACATCACTATTACGTTTTCTCATTATGATTGTTTAATTCATAATTTTCTTTTAAATGCCGTTTTAATATAATGGTAAGATAACAAAGACCAGGTCATTTAAAAAATAATGCATATTAATGAAGGTAAGTCTAAAAAAGAAAGAAAAAACATGAACTTATGTTAAGAACTTCTGTAAGAAAAATAAAAAAATAAGGTGCAAGTAACAATATTTACGATTTCCTTTATACTAATTTAGTATCGATTAAAATTGAGAATTTATGTTTGAATCATTTTGAAAATGGATAATGATTTAAATCCGATGAATATGATTCCATAGCTCATTAGAAATATGTTTAGTTACTCTTAATCAATCATTATTTTCCTGTATACAGTACGTTACCTCTACTTAATCGCTTTAATTATTAAATGTATTATATGATTCATATTGGCTATAGAATTTCTTATAAATTTGATTTACTTGAACAGTTTAGTTGCAAGTTTTGAAACCGTTTCAAAAAGAAATAAAGTAATATATTGTTATTACGTAAAATACAAAGCTGTAACTTGATACTAGAAAGTATATAAATATAAATAAATATATATATAGGTCCATATCATCTTATCGCTCACACTTAACCATTGGAGACGTTCATAAGAGCAGATACATTCCAACAATCTGGAATGTTGCCAAGGTTCATGAACTTCTATTACAAGAGAAAGGAATAAAAACAGAAAATCCCTTACGACCAATGTCCCGAAATTCGTAGTTTGTCTTCTCTGAAAACGAGTAGTATATATCAAGTTAGTAAATTAGACTTGGCTTCAGTATACAACGGCTTGCTATAAGAGGAATGACTTTTCATTAGTTGGTAAGGAAGCAAGAGAAGAAGAGGTAAAGGGTGTTTCCCGTTTACGTGACCGGGTGTGGAAATGGATCGGGTCCCAGCAAACCTTGGCGTGATCAAGGAACATCGATCTCAGAACATTTTCTCTGTTGCGGTTTCGCCACCTCTAACAAAACAGATGGAATGACTCCTAGAGGTGGCCATTAATCTTATTCTAAGGAGAGTAGGAGTTCAAGACGTGCTTTGGCAGACGTCTCAGGACACGTTCCTTCTACCACTTCTGTTAGGAATCATGACAAGCGCTAAGTGCTGTGCTTTGTATTGTATTAGTTAACTTACCTGTACTCATCGATATAAAAGTAATTTCGATAAAATATCTCATTTTACTTTGGAGTTTTCATCAAATCCACTTCTGCTTAGTTGCAGATAATATTGATAAAGTTAAGAGTGAAAGTGAAAAACATTCATGAGAGCTACTGCAAATTGATAAATTAACGTCAGTTGTATATTGATTCTTTATTCAATCTTGCATTCTTAGCTAGATTTAAGCGTTGTCCATGTGAACATGTATATATATATATATTTTTTAAAATACATTTTAATTTATTTTACTTACAAAAATTCGTTTTTTAAATAAATAAATAGTATATAAAACTTTACAAAACTTAAATTTAAAAAAAAACCTTATATATCTTTTATATAAAAAGCTGCAAAGCTTTTATTTAAATTTTTCTCGTTTCTTTTTTCTTTTCTTGCTTTAGTTCATGTTATAAATAACTAAAACACAATGCAATCCTGCTTTACGACCATTAGCTTTACAACCCCCTATTTTACGACTTATATAAATTTTTTTATCACGACCGTACCAAAACGTCTTATTCTTTGTAAACCTCGGTATAATGTTACACTCAGTGTTTTAAACATTACGTTACAGGAATGTAATTTCAATTTATATCACTAAGTATATAAAAAAAATCGGCTCGCTTTACGACGCATCGCTTAACGATGACTATCCAGGAGTTATCTATGTTATATATTATTAGAATTATTTAAATTTTTTTATTTTTATAATCTTATTTTACTTAGAAGACCATGGAATGGACCATCAAAGCAGTGCATGTAGGATTTTATTCCTAGTATCTTGCAAGCACTATTAAACAACATAGGCATTATTCCTAGCGGTTTTTGCATGCAAGCACAGTTAAATCACAAAATATTCTGAGTAACCCTTCATGTACTGTTAAATGGTAGTTGGTTTTTTCTAGTTAAAGATTCTTATGTACATCCTTAAATCGTACATGAATATTCTTCATGTATTCTGTTAAAATACAGTTGAATCTTCCTGATTGTATCTGTATGTATTATTATACAGTCGCTGGTTATTCCTGTATATATGTGTGTAGTTAATTAAATGTGCAAACAAATAGAAACAAGATTATAGCACAATTTTAATAGTCATTAACGAGATTGTATTTAGTGTTGACATCGGTTATAACAATGTTGACACCAAATACAAGAAAACTGCATTTAAATAATTTAGTAACTGTAAACTTTTTGCTCAAGTAGATTTAAATCAAGTATTATCGAATAGTCAATATTGTATTTAATATTCTAAAACTTTAAGGGTATCGCCTATCTAATATTAAGGCAAACTGGTTATTTTTTTTTATATCGAGTTGAGAAATGTGATAAACCGGTTCGTAAAATTACTATGTTAATGATTTCTAATTAAATAAAAAAAAAGTTGCTTTTCGAAAATGTCCGCGAATAGATAAATTTATATATTTTAAATGTCTGATATTCTAAAATTTACTTTATAAAGTAAAGAAATTGCAACGTAGACTATAACAGAATTCATGTAGAGTAGTGTCTAAGAGATGCATACAGTATTTATGCAAGATTATGTTAAATAATCTTAATTTAATAATAATAATAATAATAATAGTAATAGTAATAATATATGCATAATAATCATGCATATTCATACAAATCTATTGTTTATAAATGCATAAAGAAATACCTTATATACATAAACAAATGTGAATATGTATTTGGTTATTGTATATAATTAAAGAGCCCTATTCAACAATTCTGGAGTGATATTTAAAGTCCAAATCAATCGAATTTTGTATGGTGACGTTTCAAGAGACACAGAACACATTTCAGTTAAAATTTAAAAAAAAAAAATTTCAGTAACAAGTTGCTTAACTTTCCCGGCAACTTTTCGTGGATCCATCTCTTACGGTATTTTATTTAATTTTTTTTTTAATTATTTTAAAATGGTAAAAAAAACTTCACTTCGAGGGAAGGGATGGGTTTTATAAAAATTGTAAATGCTAATAACGAGTAAAATCGTCATTAAGTCTGGTCCTGAGAAGATCTCTTTATCTACCCACCCCTTCGACCTTTAACTGCCAAAATTTGATAACACTAATGTGGTTTTCATTCTGAAGGTGTAAAACTTGAAGGTGATGAACAGTGTCTTCAACGGGTGACCGTATCAGCTGCATGAATGCCTGTCGCATGCAATATAGTGCAGTCTTTCGAGGCTGCCAAATATGCAACATGTCTTCGATGAACTACACTTGGGTGTTCCCACAAATGAAATTGCATTTTTCTTTGCACGCAGCTTCTAAATGCCACAGTGACAAGTTTTGATACTATATATATTAATAAATTGATACTATATTTTTATGGGATTTTTTAAATACCAAATTTACCTGCATTTGGGCTGCTAAATATCTCTCTACATAGCATTGAATAGATGGTACTTTAATTACGAAAACCCAATATATGAAGCACATATTCATACATTTTATTTTAATTTTTTGTACATATTTCAGACCTTTAGTTTTAACTTTAAATTTACTTAAATTTGCACGTAAAATAAATAGAATTTTGAATATATTTAAATAATTTACAAATATTTACAAAATATAGGGGAGACCGGGGCAAGATCGGCATGTTAAGCTTTACTTAAATTTTGTGTAATAAATACTGCTGTAAACTGAAAAAAAGCTTTGCATATTGTCTATTGGAATGTTACCTTACTATAGAACTGGTTAAAATCAGTTTGGAAATAAAAATAATTAAAATAATTACAACTTTACAAGAAGAGAGAAATTGACGAAGTTGCCCCGGGTATAGGGGCAAGATCGGCAACTTCTCTCTTTTTGTAAAGTTGTAATTATTTTAATTATTTTTATTAAAGTTGCCCCTGGTATAGGGGCAACAGTAATGGGGCAAGATAGGCACGTATATAAAATTATGTTATTAACAATGTATAAGTTGGAATTCACTATTAAAACAAAGAAATACAAATCCAACACCCATTTAATATTATTACAACGAAATGCAAGTTCAAAGACATATATACATGAATAACAAATGCAAACATGTTTTCATTTATCATCTGTTTGATTTTTATCCTTTGCTTCTAATGTGGCTTTATGTTGCCGATCTTACCCCGCTAGTCATGATTTCGAAACATTAAGTACAACCCTGAGAACAGAATGCCAAGCCACGATCTGGCCACGTGAATAAGTTGAAGTTACATCCTTCTAACAGGAAAAGTAACTTTCGTTATCATGGAATTATAACAAAACCTGCCAATTCAATATAAATGGAAAAAAAATATTATATGGAATTGAACGAAAATGAAAATTTGCTTGATAATTCAACTACGCTTGTTGGAGAACAATAAAAACACTACACTCAACAAGCCACCAATAAAACTCAACTGCCTAACCTATAACCAAAGTCTCCTTTTAATTTGTTTTTTAAAAAAAGCGCTTGACAAACTTGCCCCGCATGCCGAAGT